TGTGTCTGTAATGGTATTGGGTGAGTACAGGGTGTTGCCTCGGTCTTCCAACGCTTCTCAAATTGTTTTCCTTGGCTTGACGAGGATCCTCTTTGGTCTTAGATGCTTTTGTGGTATGTAGATACTTAAGTGGGGCTAGCTGCTGTTAGATGCTTTTGTGGTATGTAGATACTTAAGTGGGGCTAGCTGCTGCACTCGGATCAAACACTACAATGAGGGTGGTCTGCACCAGGGGCTGTTTTGCACATAGGCAACCAGTGAACTGTCATAGGGCATGAAATATACATTTTTCAGGAACCTGATTACCCCCTCTTAGTACTATCGTACGATAGAGCTGAATGCCTTCTGGGGCTACTCGAAGCCTACTGCAAAGCGACGGGTATGGCCGCGAATGCCGCCAAGTGCGAGGTCCTCATTTTTGGGGGTGCTACACGTGAGCGGAAGCGGCTTATTGAAGCTGAGTACCGGTTAGGTGGGGCGGGGTTGCGGGTGCTGACCGGCAATGAGACGGCACGGTATCGCGGGTTGCACTATGGCCCAGGAGTGCAGTTCTCAGCATGCACCAAGCAACTACTCACAGCAGGGAGGCGGGCCACGTTTGGGCTCAGCACCCTGTGTCGTGATAAGAAAATTACCACCCCCAAGCTATGTATGTCTCTCTACAATACACTAGTTGTACCAGTGTTTTCTTATGGAGCGCAAGTTTGGGGACCTGACTTCATTAATGTGAATTTTGAAGGTGCTATGGCTAATCCCATGGTCCAGGAACAGCGTGCTTACATGCGAACCATAGTTGTGGTGAGGAGCCCGACTATGGTTTCCCTATATCGCGAGCTGTCACAGAGGCCACTCCAGTTCCATTGGACCAATCTTGTACTTAGGTTTTGGAGCTCTGTGGTTAAGAGGCCGGGAACGCTGTGTCACCGGGCATTTGTTGCCGACCTGGAGTTGGCACTTGGGGGCGTCTCTGAGTGTTGGGCAAGCAAGGTACTAGCCTTTCTTACTAGCTTAGGAGTGGAACCCCCCACTAATACGCGCGGTAATGATCTTATAGCGTACTACACCACCCTTAAACTGCCAGTTGAGAGCATTCTTAAGGTATTTGCCAAGCGGCTTGATGCACGGTGGGAGTGCCCGAATACCTTGGGTGACCCCTGCGTCTTCCCCATAGGAATTACCGGAGCCAAGGCGTGTCGCTATATGAACTGGATGGGAGCTGCCCCGCCTAGGGGTGCGCGTCTCGATTGGTTGGAGCACACTAAAGGGACCATGCCCCAGCGACTTCATCATGTGCTCATGCGTTTTCGGTTAGGCTGTTAGGAGTTAGAGGTTAATAGGCCTAATGGGCGTGAGCGCACTGCGTGTACCTGCAGGCTTTGCGACTGTGGAGCGGTTGAAGATGAGTTGCATGTTTTCGAAGAATGTCCCGCTTACAAGAGCATACAGGCTAAGTATGATGGTGATCTAGTCTTTAAGGGGTGCAGCATGCGCATCATTATGACTGAGGCGCCACCCCTGGCATTAGCCAGGTACCTCTCGGAAATTTGGGAGGCCAGGCACGTCACGCTGAGGGGCTTCACCCTGAAGTGGACGAGGGAGAATGAAGATGACCTCCCGTGTACCCGCATCAATACCAATACAACGTCCATGGCCCCCCCGGCTTTTACGGACACACCCGCACTTGTGTGCGGAACTTGTAACTTGTAACATACCAGGTGTGGAACCACGAGAGGTTGGCTGTTGCAACCCATGATTTTTGGGCGGGGCCCCAGCGTGAAGCGCCCAGGGGGGCCCCGACCTGTAGGATTGCCCATGTCCGTGTGTGTGTGTGTAACGGACCAAACATAATATCTCGCCCGGCTGAAACGCGTTATAGGTACTATACAGCATTCTCTATTGCAAGGTATCTCGCATGTAGCCAACAAAAATCGTATGAGCACAAACAAGTTTGGCTGCCTCAATTGACCGAGGCCAAAGTCACATCAACGCCTCTCGCGCTAAATTTCATCTCAAAAGGTACCGCGTATCTCATATTTGAATTCTTAGATGACGGCGTATGATAACTCGAACTCCCAGGCCTTGAGTGTGTAACGGACCAAACAGAATATTTCACCCGGCTGAAACGCGTTATCGGTACTATACAGCATTCTCTATTGCAAGGTATCTCGCATGTAACTAACAAAGACCGTATGAGCACAAACAAGTTTAGCTGCCTCCATTCACCGACCTCAAAAGCCACATCAACGCCTCTCGCGCTAAATTTCATCCCAAAAGCTGCCGCGTATCTCACAATGGAAGCTTGTGTTACCATTTGCCGGCATGGGCAATCCGACTTGCCACCAGCAGGCCAACATAATTTGCTTTCATTTCTGTATGAAATACACAAGCTGCTTGTCTGTACATTTACTTTGGCCAATGCACGGGGCCTCCGAAGAGTTGCAGCGTGCCGTGATGAAGCTTGTGGCAGTAGAGTGCTTCCTGTAGCCGCATGTAGACCACATACAGGTCAGCAACCGATGGGTGTGCCACGGAATAGTCCCGAAATCGCTCGAAAATACATTCGTTACACAAACACTACCTCCCACCATGTTGACATTACTCATCAATTGTCACACTTGCCACCCTTGCTACCGGCCTGTACGGATGCAGAGGGGCCCCGCCCTTTTTCCGGCTTCCTTGAAGCCGACACCCAATCTTGTTCCTCTGGCAGGAAACAACCAGATTCACATCAAGATGCCGAAATACAAGCACTGGATGGGGTTGCCGCTCGAGAAGGCAGCAGCCGCGGCAAGCTGGTTTCCACATACATGCCAATATGCTACAACCTGTCGACATCTTTCGGTTGCAAATGCGTTTTCGTCGTATGCTGCTGGCTGTTAGAAGCAAATAGAGCCTATGGTGGGAGCATGCATGAACAGAAATATGCATGCAAGTTGTGTGAGCCCTTGCAAGCTTCATGCCATGGAAGGTATAGGCAAAAACGTGAAATAGAAAATGCACCGTAAGTGATGATAACAGCGACAGTAGAGAAGGTGGAGAGATGGATGCTGAGAACGATGGATGCTGAGAACGATGACGCTGTAAATATGACTCCCAAGGGCTGTGCAGGCGGAGTCGGTGCTACTGGTAGCAGTGGCGCCGCCACCGATGGCAGCATGCCGCCACCACTGCCACCGCCACCATCACCTCCCATGCCAATGACATCATCACCGGCCGCCCCACCGCCAGCTCCACCGTCTTACAGACAGCAGCTGGGGTTGAAGATCCGAGAAGCACCCGTGGCTTCGCTGAGTGCAGTAAAAGCAAAAGGTGGCAAGTACCCATGTACAGAGCCAGTATATGGGCTCATGTACTCAGCATCACCTAGTAGGTGTAGTAGCTGAAAAGGCCTCTCTAGGTGCTGGTGGTCGCGCTACGCGCGAATTTGTAGAGCCGTACTGTGTACCAGCTACTACATTCCGCCCCCTTTGAAGGGATCCGTCTCGGGCCCTTACGGCCTCGTTTATCAGCAGCCTGTGCCTACCTTCGCCTACCCTCGGGCAGTGGGGTGTTCAAGTCCACGTCACGTCATGACCCCCCTTTCACATGCGCCTAGCCGTCTTCAGGTTTTTCAGGCACAGAGACAGTCCAGTCGGTTCAGCTACATTTTATTTTCGCGATAATTGCTCACTGAGTCGCCAAACCCGATATTCCACCAAGCATGATTGGTGAGGGTTGAACCAACGACTTCAGGATCGTGGCCGTGGATTTGATCCGGGGAGTTCCCACCTCCTAGCAATTCCCACCAATGTAACACCAGGCAAAGAGTACTCAGTTGGGAGATGCCAGGGGAGCTGATCCCTTCTTGCATTCCTCCCCCCCTCAAGTGAACATCCTCGGATTGTGAGTTGGTTTGTTATTGTGACATTTCGTCAGTCCCCGTCCGAGATGGAGGACTTTGTTTTTACTCAGCTGGTAGACTTCTCACCCACTCGGGCATCCACCTCTGGGGAAGAGTGTGCTGCATCGTGCCTGGTGTGCGATGTCTTTGCAACCAATTCGATCCGGGGAGTTCCCACCTCCTTGCAATTCGCACCAATGTAACACCAGGCAAGAGTACTCAGAGAGATGCCAGGGTAGCTGATCCCTTCTTACAGGAGCATGATCGATCTTTTTGTAGGTTCGGCTGGTGTTCTCTATCATGCCTTTTGGATGCATGTGGGTGAGCTGCTCGCATGAGATGGTTGGTTCCCGACTGACCACCATCCAGTGACGCTAGTGCTTGGTCTAGCTGTGGGAGGAACCGAGACGAGTGCCAAATGGTGCTGCCAAAAGAAGCGAGCAGTGTTTGAGATTTCCCGTTATCGTGACTATGCTGCTCTTTTCATTGAAGGGATCTCAGGTCATGCACGCACTAAATGGGATGATCACGGACCTATCTAATGGGACCTGCGACAGCACGGATTCGGTGGAGCGCATTAGTAACCTCCTGTGGAAGGTGCTGGTTCGAGTATTTGCGGGTCGCAGGCGGTATGTAAGTGGGGGATGGTGCATCATGGTGGAATGAGGAATGCCAAAGCACCCGGCAACACATGCTTGCTCGCAGGGTGCGGCTTGGCCCTGGCAGGGTCGAGAATAAGTCAGGTCCTTTGTGGGAAGCGTTCTGCAAGGCATGTAACGCAATGAATTGTGCCAAACGTGCCCGAGCAGCATGTGATGCAGAGAGAATGCGTGAGTTCGTGGTTAGGTGCAGGCATGATCAGCGCGCATTATGGCGGGCCTTGGGAGGGCAACTCAGGGAGCGTTGTGCAATTGACGAATTGCATGTATTTCGGGATCACTTTGCCACCTTGTTAAATGCAGGAATTGGGGAGACGGGTGTTGAAGGTGCACATCGGCTCCTTAACTATATCTCCTTTTTTGGGACCCCTTTGGGAGAGGGTGCTTGGCAAGCATGTCGGACTGTCAGGAGGGCACAGGCAGCTAGCATCCTGGATGAGCCTTTCACCTTGGAGGAGGTAGCGCGTGCTGTCAGTAGGTTACCAAACGGAAAGGCTCATGGGCTCGAGGCCGTACCATTGGAATGTTACCGTTATGCACGCCTCCCACGGGTGGATGAGCAGGGCAGGCAGGGAACGGAGGTGAACTGTATCATCCCAGTTCAGCACGTTTTGTTAGAGCACATCAGGGCAACTGGTGACTTTCCACAGCATTTTACCAAAACGGTGGTATCCCCAATTTTGAAGAAGGGTGACCCGTTGGTGGCAGGAATTATCGGGACATTGCAGTTGGAGGAGCACTTGCGAAGTGCTATGCGTCAGTGATTCTTAACCGTCTGGTACGTGCTGGGGAAACACTGGACCTGCGGGACCCATGCCAAGCGGGTTTCGGGCGGGGTTTTGGCACCGCTCATCACCTCTTTGTCAAGCAACACCTGGTCAGGCGGCATCGAATTGCAGGGCAGCCGCCGTTGATAATAGTACAGATTGACTTCGAGAAGGCCTTTGATAGGGTGCCTCGCGAGCATATGTGGCTTCGGTTGCAGGAGAGGGGGATTAGCGGCCCCATGCTAGATGCTCTGAGAAAAGCGTACGATAAGGTGTCCATGTTGATTAAGGTGAATGAGAAATTGGGGGGAGAGTTTGAGTCTAAGCAAGGAGTGAAGCAAGGGTGTCCTTTATCTACAGAGTTGTTTGGACTCTTCATTGAGACACTAGCTGATCTGATTGATACTCATGACCTTGTAGAAGCTGGAGTACGTAAGCATGACACACCCCTTGTGGACAGCAAGCTCGTCTCCATACTGTTGTATGCAGACGATGTTAGTCTGCTAGCGATATCACTAGAGTGAATGTCTGAGTTGCTACATCTTGTGGGCTTGTTCTATGAAGCCTTTGGGATGCGACCAATGTCTCAACATGTGAAAGGCTTGTTTTTGCATGTGATGGCACCCAGCAGTCGGAACTTCGCAAGAGATGTCAACAGTTACGGCTATCAGGCCAGGTAGTACCTGCCAAAGATAGCGCTCGCTATCTGGGCTTGGTATACGGGCCAGAACGGCCTTTTAGTGCGTGCCGTCAGCAGTTATGTGATACAGGTCGGTCCGCTGTGTTTTCCTTCGACGCAAAGCTAGACAAAATGAAGCTGTTTGCCCCCGACGTGTGAGTGCGGTGCTTTGCAACCCAAGTCCGAGCAATTCTGTTGTATGGCTGCCAGGCATGGGGCCCTTTTGCGCTGGCAGAGGTCGTGGACAGGGTGGGAAGGCGGCGGGATAAAGCCAACCTTGCGGAGGGCATGTTCGAAGCCTGTTTGAAGGATATATCCGTTATATAGCGCAGCCCAGCTGCAGATTTTATTCATGAGGTACTGGGGACGGCACGGCCATCCCACAGGCTGTTGTATGCGGAGCTGGCTGAGCTCCCCTTACAGTATTACATGGTGAAACAGATCCTCCGTTTCTGGAACCACCTTCAAAAGCAAGTGGGATCCATTGCTCATGCAGTTTTACGGCAGGAGATAACCGATGCCCTGACCAACCCGGAATGGGAGGGTTGGGAAATCTCAATGTCTCGACTGTTTTCCTTCTTGGAGTGCTATTTTTGGAGCGGAATACCGCAAGAAGTCATGGGGGTAAAGGAGTGTCTTGACTGGTTATTGCGTAGGCCTCTACCCGAAGGAGCGATGATAACGGCACTAAGAGACAGTTTGATGAGCGGCTGGGACCATACGCGTCTGACTGTCCTGCCAGAGGATTACCCATCAGATGGGAAGCAACCGGGAGTGCAAATGGCGAAGTATAAGCACTGGATGGGGCTACCCTTTTCGGGAGCTGCAGCCGTCATGTGGCCAACACATGCTAAGGTTTTCATTCCTCGTTTAGCACATCGTAAGCTAATGCAGTTTCGTTTATGTTGCTGAGCTCTGGAGGCAAACAGGGCACGAAGGGGCAAGTACCATGTCCCCAGGGGGCAGCGGTTTTGCCGCTGTTGTGATACTAATAGCCGAATCGAGGATGAAAAACACGTGTTATTGGAATGCCCAGCCTATAATGATATTCGTGCTGAAGAGGGATTCGATCATCAACAGTGCATGTTGGAGGCCATGAAATGGGAACCAGAACGTCTGGCGAGGATGTTGGAACGTATGTGGGCTCACCGGAACTCAATTACCCCCTTTGGACGCTAGTCTGGGCTGATGTGCGGTGTTTTCCTTTCCTCCGTGGCTTTTAGGCGTTGTAGTATTGCCCTTGGGCCTTCGGCTCGTATGGGTAGTTTTACAGGTATGGGGTCATGCACCCCCAACCATGTAACACCCACACACCCACACACACAGTCAAAAGCATGATTTCTTAGACCGCCCAGCACCGACATAGCTTATGACCGGCTGTAACGGCGCAAATGCCAATCTGAGCATCCCGGGTTACGCCTTTGCTGTGTTACACCAGCTGAAATTGGCAAACCTTCTCCACAGATCCTGGCTAAATAGGGTCTCTAATAGCTGATGGTGCGTTCAATAATTCGGCTAGTTCGGCCAGCTCGGCTTCATGTGAGTGCAGTAGGTAATTGTTTTCCTTGTGACTTCTTTGAGATGTGTCGAATCGGATGGCCTTCAGCTAGCCCCTGGGCCCCCGGTGTAACACCAGGCAAAGAGTACTCAGTTGGGAGATGCCAGGGGAGCTGATCCCTCTTACATTCCTCCCCCCCTCGAGCGAATGTCCTCGGGCGCCCCCGGGCATATCCCGTAGGATTTATGTTGTTTGAGATCCCGTAGGATTGAGAATTTGAGTGTTATTGACATTTCGTCAATCTCCGTCCGAGATGGAGGACTTTGTATTTACTCAGCTGGTAGACTTCTCGCCCGCACGGGCATCCACCTTTGGGGTAAGAGTATGCTGCATCATGCCTGGTGTGCGATATGTTCGCATCCGGATTCGATCCGGGGAGTTCCCACCTCCTAGCAATTCGCACCAATGTAACACCAGGCAAAGAGTACTCAGTTGGGAGATGCCAGGGGAGCTGATCCCTCTTACACCCGGTTCATATGGACCCGGTTTGGAGGGTAATGCAACTCAAGGTGCAACACACACGCACGGTGATGCCAGCCCTGAATTGTAGGAGGTGTCTAGTCCTTACGATTAGTAGGGTGAGGAGACGCCTATGTTAAAAATCTACTTACCAACTCTACTACGTGCCCCCATCAATCTTACCATCCCTCCATTCTACCAGGCGCTAACCCCGCCAGCTTTTATTCTAAAACACTCACCGTTGGATACCCCCGCGGTGGGGTTATTATCACCGGCGTCCACATCCGTAGCACTGTACACATTGATATGGAACCGCCACTGAAGCAATGCGCGTTGTGTATCATCTGCCAGGTCATCCCCGCAGTTTATCCATACGTACTCGACCTCCCCCAATGCCGCCTCTGCCAGATGCATCGCGTTAACGGCCGCTGATGCGGACGTACTCGCGCCTGCTTCCAGATCTATCAGCAGCTGACGAGCAGCGGTGGCTGCAGCATCAGCGTTTGCATTGGACGCTGCAGCGGCAGTCGTCACCATGCTTTGCATGGCAGCGGAGGCGCCAGCGGCTGCAGCGAGCACTGACCGCAGCTCCTTTTGAGTGATGATGATCTCATCCAGGCTGGGTGATTACAATTGTTGGATGCGCGGATGGAAGGGCGTCCACAGGGGAGGGCGATAATATGTCAACAGAAGACAGGAGAAAACCAAGCATGGCCCCTTGCACAACAGAACTCTTGCAGCATCCTCCTCCTGGTCCTTCCTAGAAAACATAGCGCCCAACAGCCCTCCCATCACCCTTTGGCAAGCAACCCGCACACAAGCCCTCCAGAGCCCCTTATCAGCATGTTCGTCGTTCCATCAGCATGTGGAAGTCTCCCCACCTAGCTTGCGTGTCCACGGCCACACTAGTCATGTCTGTTAAAAGCTGCGAGTATGATAACATCTCCTCTGCTGACTGACGCAGGTCTGCTGCCTGCGGACCACTATCTAGATCGCCGCTGCTCATCCGAGCTGCTATACTGGAACCCTCCATCGCCAGCTCCACTGCCTGCTGCGAAAGCGCTTCTATGAGCATCTGCACGAGGGAAACAGACGATGAGGCGCCATCGGGCAGTTCCGCGGCAGTATCGTCACTGATCTTTTCAGAGCCAGGCTCAGCGCTGAGTGCAGCAGTAATTGCTGGGCCATCACCGGGAAGCTGCTGCTGCAGTAGCAGCCGCTGCCGACTGTGACTGCCAAGCCCATCTTCCACCGATTGCCTTAGTAAATGATGCTTGTTAATACCATTGCTGTCGCTACCACTTTCCCCAGAGGCCATTTCCACCGGCATTCTTGGAGTTAGGTTGGGGAGCCCTGTCGCCATGGTTGCATCCCTGCCACTGGTGACAGCGCCAACATTCTTATGTGATGTCAGGAGCTGCAAGGGCATCTGGAGTGCCTCTGCAATTGCCACCAGCCACCTCCCGGCAGCAGGGACCGGCGTGTGATGGTGCACGTCACCATTGGCATCCCTGTCAGGGATGGAGCCTCCTCCACAATCGTCATCGTGGATGTTTGCCATCAGCAGCTCCAAAATCAAGTCCTCCACAATTCCATGGCTGGTACCATCGAGTTCCAATGCCTTCTGGGCCCGTGACCCCCGGGCAAGGTGGCCTTCAATGCTGCCGCCAACGCTGTTGGCCGGATAGTGGACCGCCAAGGAGTGCTTCAAATCGCTGGCGTCATCGGGCTGCATTGTACTCAGTTCACGGCGATGACGGGTAATACTACTGATGTCAGCATCGCTGGCCAGACGCACCGTTCCCGTACTGGTGTTGTATCCGAAGACCTCCAACAGCTTCTCGTGGCGAAAAGATGGGTCATTCATGAAAAGCGATGTGAAGTTGTCGAAATCAGTGACGGCACCGCGGTGTACGGCTGAGGGCAGGTAGGTGTGTATTGCCGCCGCCACACGGAGCACGGTGGTAGCAGTTGATACTTGCTCTGTGCTTGCACCCTGTGCATAGTGGTTTTGTGGAGGAAAATACGCGCATTTGGCACACACAAACCATGCTGTCACCTTAAGGTTCACACTTTGCCCTCAGAATTTACCTGTCTTTTCGCCGGAAGTAATAAGGAAAGCAAAGACTGCAGAGGAACCCCCTCAAACTAATGCCCAGGATTCCTTTCCACAATCAGAAAACACCCGCATGCTGTATATCAGGAGGAAATCACCATTTCGCAGAGCAAGTGCATGAGGTCATGCCACTGAGGGACATGTGATTGCATTCCGGAGGGCAGATGGGGGTTTCGTTCTGCATGTGGGAGTAGAGCTGAGCAGCTGCCAGCTATCTTCCCATGACACACCTAATCACAACTCCATTCAGTAAACAGTAATAAGTAAAACACATTCAAGGGCGGAACTGTAGCAACCCACCAGCAGTTGTATGTCTGAGGAGTCATATCCCAATGCCGCCAAGTGATCGGCGGCGTATGAGAATGCCATCTTGTACGGCTCGGTAGCGTTCATGGTTATGAGCGCCGGGAGGATTGAGGCGGAGGTGTCTGCCAGTGATGCGACACTAGTGTTGATAGCGGCCGCATGCTCCGCCACTAAGGTTGCGCTGTTGTACTTGAAGTCAGCGGGGGCGGATAACGGTGATGGGAATGAGACGAGCGTGGAGGACTTGTAGTACACGTGTACGGTGCGATACGAGGTGACTTCGCTGTAGCCGTTACTCGCAGTAAACCTGCAGCATGCAGGAACAGTTTATGCCGCTTGCCACGGGGGATATACTACACATAGGGGTGGAACCATACGCTATTTCTGTACAGCGGTTTATAGTCAGTTTACATGCTACGTTACGTTAAGACTTTTTGGGAAAAGTGGTCGGTTCGGACATGGTAACGGTACGTACCGGTACCGGTAAAGTGGACGAAAAGTCTAAAGTGACCCGGGGGGGGTGAATTTCGTCAAACGTTGACCCCTCGTACCGTTACCTGAATTGCGTCGCCGATTTCGTGAGGTGTAACAAACGGCCAAGCCCAATCGCTTATAAAGACCACATACTTGACAAATTGTGCACGCTTTGCACTCCGGCCGAATTTCTAGTCACACTGCTGCCTTATATTCTAAAAATGAACAAGGACAACACCGCTCGTATTGCTCGCCCGCTAGCAGCCGCTAATATGGCAAATAGGTAACCAAACGTAGTATCAGGACTGAAGCCGCTGTGGAAACAGCAAGTCGGCCGCATGGGCAGCGGCATGGGCAGCGCCGCATCGGCCCGCACGCCCCAGCATCAAGCAACACGAATTTATTCCAATCCATATGGGAAGATGCTGAAGTTTTGGCCATTGAAAGCCATAAAAGGATATGGTTTACACAGCTCGCGCCAACGAACACGTCGTCGTAATGTCCCATGTAAACTGGGTGACTTTCTCAGGCCCACTTTTACCTAAACGTTTCCGCAACGTAACGTAGATTGTAAACCCAGTATTACGGCTTCATAAATCACGGAAAGCATGGATGCTATCGTTATTTGCTATCACGATGTGGACTGTCGAACTGTAACATTCGCCCAGAGCAGAGTTTCCTAATCATCAGTGCGGCACTAACCACTGAATTTCTCTAACCAAGCCCCAAACTTCTCTCAACGGTCAGCAATCATATCATAATCCGCTGAAACCAAAAAAGTAGGCCAGGGGTCTCCAGGCAAGCCAGGGTCTCCTGCAAGCCTTGGAGACGATGACTAAACGTAGGCAAATTAAAAACTGAAACACAGAGGCCGAGTCAGGAAAAGCCGCGAGTGTTGCCAAATTTGTGAAACAGCAACACTTTAGGCTAATTCTCGTAATGCAGCTGCCAAAAATGCAAATGGCAAGTGCCCCGGCAGTTTGTGACACATGCCAATCGCCATGCCAGGCTCGCTTCCGATTGGGGACTTTTAAGTCGTCCTAATGATGTCTTAGATGCCAGCTTGATGTGAGAGGATAGCTCGTAGGGTGTTGCCAACTGCAAGCCGCGATTCACGCTGAGCGCGTCTACAATGCTAAAGCGCAAATAATTTGAGCAGAAAAACATCCTGTTTGGTCTACTACTGAGGATTACCGCTCACGAGTCGTGAGTCACGACTACACACTCAGTGGACAGATGTAGCTGCTGAACCTCTGGCGGGCGACCTGACAATTAGCAATCACTAATTGACGTAAATTTTGGGGTAGGTGAAAATTGCCGACCATAACGATATATATTTCTCCCGTATCGACCGTAATTGACGCAAAATAACGGTAAGACGTTTTACGGCCGGCTTGCGTTATGCAACTTTCTGCCCTTTTGACCGAACAACTCACTTGTACTTGTAAGTTCCTGGCGGACACCCCCGCGGCAGGTGAAGCATCTCCATCGTGCACGTCGTACATTGCTTCTTGCTGTCGCCACTGCTCTGCTCGCAGCTGATAGTTGGCTGTACGGTAATGGACCCCGTCAGATCTAACAACATTCGTCGGCCGTCACCGTAAACCGTAAGGCCCAGTGCGAAGACGCTGCAACCTGATGTGTCATTTATTGACGTACACGGCCCCAGGTACATCTTTGGCACTTTGCCGTACTCCACATACGCGACACTGGGTAGTACGGCGAGCGCCGGTGTGTACAGCACAGGAGTCTTGAGCCGATTGGCGACAGAACACGGGAGTGGCGAGCAGAAAAACCTGCCCAGAGTGCAGCGCCGGTGCATAGTTGGGAATGGCAGATCACACAGGGACAGCGGAACACGGGGTCACCGGGGCCAGGTCATCTGGGGCTGAGCAAAGGAGATGAGGAAGCATTATGCAGGCAATACCTTGAAGCAAAGCCATAGGATGCCAACAGCCAATTGGCTACAAAACCGCGGCTTTGGATACCTGTGGTATGGTGGGCGCCTCAATGACATCCATGCATAAGGACACATGTCGCAGCGCTAGGCCAGCAGTGTTTTTTTTTTCATTTCTGCCAGTTAATTTTCCAGTCCGAACGTAGGAATAGGTTTTTAGTCGCGGGAATAAAGGTATTCCGAATCTGTAAGGCGCTGGGGGGGGCTCCGCCCCCCCCAGACCCCCCCCCATGAGTTAAAGTTTAGTTCGTGCAAACGCCGGGTTTGGGGAATGTCGCAACACGCGCACACCAATCTCTCAAGCACTGATCGAATAGAGTTCGTTCACCATCGTTCATCTTGCATCACGTTGAAAGATAACACTACACGACTTTCCAGGTTGCAGAAGTAATGATGCATAGCAGCAATCAACCGGAACCTCCAAACGCAACCTGTTTCCTGGCCCATCGCGATTGTATCCATATGAGGAACGTTGATGTTTGCCCCGCTCGCTGTTGACAACCGGAGTGGCGTCATTGTCGTCGGCTGGCTGCAGCATTGCGTCCACATTGCCTACGACCCCTACACCGTCTTCATTAACGTCGCTAATGGCTTCAGTAAAATTTAGTATCTGCTTTAATGGCCTTCAATGCTTTGGGAGCTTCGGGTCCGAATGTTTTGCAGCGTTTGGTCCGGTCAGAAACAGTCCGATTCCTCGTTGACTTTCGGGCGTGAGCTTCCTAACAGTATCCATGGCATTAGAGTACTATGATATGGGTAACATGTATGTCTCCTGTAAGATTCTAGCGGGTTTGGCATGGACAGTCCATTTTTGGCTGGAGGAATGAACTTGTACGGTTGGAACATTATTTATTCTTAACTTTCAGGACCACGAACATTTTTTTATTCCGAATTCGGAATATATTCCGCAAAAAAATAACGCTGTAGGCCAGGTCTGAGCTCGTCAAGAGATGACGGTTGAAAAATCATGTACTGATGCGCTTTGAATCCTAGAGTTCATGGAGCACCAAGCTGAAGAGCTGGTTTACAGAGGGCTTACCCTCCTTGTGGGTCCTCACAGTAAGTGGTGGGCAAGGGAGGGGAGCCGCTGATGTTCCCCGTGGTACCCATGACACTTGTGACGGTCGAAGTGGCGCATGGGTCCGAGATGGTGACGTAACGCCGTACAGTAGCATTGGCGCGGGCGTTATCCCACACCCAGAAGTCTACCGGGAAGATGGTCCCTACCGGCGCCAGCGTGTTGATCCCACAGCCTGCCAGCCCGCGCAGGCGCAGTGTGTAGCTCTCTAACTCCTGCCAGGGTGGATTTCGGGAGTACATATCCATAACTGCTTGCATGCGTGCGCTTTACAAAACTGAGCTGCTTGTGCAGTGAAGTTGTATATGCGTGTGTGCCTCTGTGAAATGTATGGGTTTGGAGAGGGGAGATGAAACACTAGGGACCAATCAAATGCAGAACTAGATGCAAAAACAGCCACGGCATGCTTAATGACTCAAACTACGCTAGGGCCGTCAAACTGAGACCAGGCTCATGTCCCTAACAACGGCCCAGCGAAACGCATGAATCCACATACCCAGTGCCAGGTCATATCCGATACCATGTAAACTGATGCAGTCCCGCAGCAGAATACTTCCTTGTGCCCTACTAGTAGATCCACCTAACCGTTTCCACCTCGCCCCGTCTTCCATACCTTTACCTTATCTTGTTGTTTGTCTGAAACCATTTTTTTTGTCCGGGAGGCCAGACAACCTCCGAGATCCCGACAGCTAGTCAACTCAGGCACGTTGCGTGCTGCTGCTCCGATCTTCCAAACAAGACACACTCTCGTACACATAGATGCAGACATACGCGCTCACACACGTGCGCATGATGCTCTTACGTGCACATATTTTGGGCCGGCCAGTGCCGCAATGGTCGGCTTACAAACGTACCCGCGTCGTGCACCCTTCGGCTGACAAACACGCCGCCGGTGGACAGGCTATGACCGCGCCTGTCAGATCGAGAGCAACCAGCACCGAAGAGGAGGTAGCCTCATTCCTTGATACGGCGCCATCGGGGTCCGTTGCTCGGGCTCCTGGCTCACACGGCTGGTCGAAAGTCGGTACACTGCCATTGCAATAGTCGTACCTGCGATGTGTGTGTGAGCCGTTGTGTGTATGGCGGCCGGGTGCCTTAAGGCGGGTATGGCGTAAAACCTTGCCTTTCCTGATATCTGCGGGTTCTAGGTTTCTCCTCCCTCAACATCTGCACTTCCACCTCGCTCCCTGCTTCAGACCTGGGAGGCTGCCGTCCACACCGAAGCATCACGATGTCACTCGCCTCTATTGAGCCGTCTTGCATGCAGTGCACGCCACACATTTCCATTATCCTCCAACTCCTGTCCCTACCCCCTAATTCAATCGTAGCGTTTATGCGTTCTCTCCTACTCGCCCCGGGCCCAACCCATGGCTACATGCACGAAACCCCATGCCCCGCACGGCCCATGCAGCCCTCCGTCTTCAGCCTTGCTTACCTCGCGCCCCTCATAACATGCACCAGCATCGATGCTGCTTCCGAGACGCGGAGCTCGATGGTGGGGGCCTGGTTAGGCGGAGTTTGCTGCTGACTAACGACTCCGGCTGCTTGGGGTCTTCCAAGCTTGCCGATGGATCCAAGCTCGCTGAGACACACCTGGTCCACAGAGCAGGTCACCTGACACGCCAAAAAGGACCCATGGGTCAGTAGGCGTGGGTTGGTGGGCGATCTGGGTCGGGTTGGGCTATAAGTGAGTGTATCGGTGGGCGTATCGGTGCACGTGTTGGTGAGCCACAGCGTCATGTACGACTAGTACAAGGCATACCCGACAAGGCGGTATAACTGGGTAGTGGCATGGACCTGCTCCGCCTCCCGAAACGCACATTATCGCCACATAATTGTTCGCCGGGAAGGCAAGCTGCGCGGACCACCAGCGTGCGCAAGGTGGCCGCCGTCTTGCCACCACTGTTGAAAACATCGTAGGTAATTGTGTACACGCCGGGGATCGAACTGGAAATGTTGCAGGCCAGCAGCACCGGCACGGTAGTGTATGCAGTCGCCGCCGTACTGGAAGGCGTGAATGGCTGACCGCATACCCGCAGCCTGCTGCTCAGGTCCCCTTCCAGGGGGTCCAGGACGCGTGCACCGGCGTCGCAAGGGAGACTAACTGGTATGTCCTGCATGCACCTGGGGCAAATACACGCAACAACGCAACGGAAGCGAAATTTGTGAGTGGGTGCATCCACAGGAGCATGTGAGGGCACAAACATTAAATCTGCATTTTTAAGAAATCGGCACGGAAGACCGCAACATAGTCGGCAATTCATCCAGGTACACAGATCATTTCGTATGCAGCAAAAGGGTAAGGACGCGGATACACAGGTGGCTCATGGATAGATGGATGCCGTGAAAAGGCATGCCCAGTTCCAGATACCAGGTCGTTATGTATTCACGCGGGGAAGAAGAACAAGAACAAGAACAAGATGCAAGGCAAAATTGTTTGTTTCAGTGATCTGCGTGCTCCAGCTTCCACCACTCTGACTCCCCAGACAATCCATCCCCATTGCCTACCTGTCAAAGCTGCCAAACTGCGGGATTTCCACCAGTCTTGGGCCCCGCAGAGCGATGCGCGGGGCGGACGGGTCATTCATTGGCTCCCACCCATCCGCTTCAACGCCCCACTGGCTGGTGGCGTTGCTGCGCTTGCTGCTGCCTTCGGCGCTCCCACTGCTAGCGCTACCACCACCGTTGGCGGTGGGGTCACCAGCCGCGCTGTTGAAAGCAGACGAATACCGGCCGAAACCGCACACGCCGCTGACCGTGCACTGCCCTTCCCCCTCGTCATCCACACAAAACGTTTCTGGCGGGGTGCAGATGATCTTGATTAAGCGCCAGCCGACGGCTGCCACACCGCTGCTGTCGGTCACGCTGTATCGAATGACATAGCTGTGCAGAGCCGGTGGAGGTGTGGCAGTGAAAGTGTCGACAGCAGTGATGCCGTACGCTTGGATAGCGTTCGTCAGGTTGATTGTTGCGCCGAATTCGTCAATGTCGAAGGCGGTAGCGCCTGATGGCCAAAGTTTGGTGAGTGGAGAGAGAGGGGTATGCAGCAACAGAGGGAGCTACAATAAGGGGCTGCAGGTTGAGGGTGTAAATCCGTTTTCTGTACGGAAGAAAACGCAATCTCGTCACATTCTCATGAAATGAGACGACCATGAGATGATTAAATAGTGAGCTCCACGTTATAGCTGGTCGCCAGAAAGTTCTCTCGATATGACGACGGGTATTGTGGCTATCGTACGTGGTGGGGAAGTGGGACCCCTGCACGTGCCTTTCCCTGCCAGGGCTTTGCCAAAAAATCGCTGGCTGGCATGATCTCTGTTGGTACAGAACCGGGTACTCGGTCACTTCTCAGTCTGCATTATAACAACCATTTGCTGTAACATCTATAACATGCATGTATCCTGCCAAGGACCATCGTCAGCCCCTTCCAGTCTGAAAGGGTGAACCTGACGGCCTGGACTTCATCCGATGATCAGGATTCGTTGCCAAATGTACCCCCAAAACCCAAACTAAAAAGCACGAGCCTTTATAATCACAAAAGCGCTTCTCAACATATTGGCAGAGAACTTCAGCCTGTCGATATTGCTTACATACGCCGTACTGTACGACAACTAATACACACGGCCCAACCTGGATCTGTCCAGGCTGATCCATACGGCACTTCATCCAGTATGACCGGCTCGCCAGCGGTGCTGATGTACGGCTTGCCAAGGCCCATAAGGAGCAGTCGGGGGGCCTGGGTGTCCTTAGGCACTGGCAGCCGTATCCTGGAGGAAGCGAACATAAGCTGGGCTTGGCAGTTCCAGGTGCTGTACAGAAAAGGTCACCCACTCATCTTATCCCCACCAAAGGCCCCATTGCACAATTACAACGTGAATAGCAAAGCAGCACGGAAAGCAGGGGACTTGGGAAGTATGGGAGAGCACACCATCCGAGTCTATTAGACATAGACTGGCGCAGCGATGGCGGCTTCTGGTTCATTTGCTCCGGGTTCCTGGCATGGGGAAGTGCCATGCACCCCTACAAACATCCCCGGTCGACAGGGAACATGCGAGTCAGGAGGTTGCAGCAAGCACCCGGCATGCCCTTGAATAATTCCTATTGGCGTTACGATGTTAGTCGCTTGCCCTAACATATTTCGCCCGTCTTCATGGCCTGAGCAGAGGCAAGCCGCTTCTCAGCCTGGAAATGCTGCTCCCATTCATCACATGGCGCACGGAAGCCACTACCCGCCCACCTGTTTGCTCACCCGTTCTTATCGGCACTATCTATGGCAATTTTGTCCAAATTAAACACCGGTGTGTTGGACGTGGTTGGCGTAGATCCGCTGCCGCTGATGCTGCTGTTGGCCCCGCTGTTGTCCAGGTCCGTTCCCAGGGATATTGTACGGAAGACCAAATCTAAGAGGTTGACGCACCTGGAGGTAATTGAGGGGTTTCGGTATGGGGGCGTGACAAGTTTCAAAGCAAGGGACTGACGGACATAGTGCGTGATGATGTGTGTGGAGGGCATAACACACGACTGGAAACACCCAGGATTTCCTTATAATGCATGCAAACTAATTTCCTTTATAAATGTTCTGTTGTGTACAGTTTGTGGCTAATTTGTCTGCAACGATAAACAGCAGTGCGCGCTTACCACAGGAACTCGTCTGTAAAATCGTTGCTTGATCACGATCGTCTGTCGATCGCGCCGATTGGTACAATAGAAAGGGACGGTCCCTATCTATTTCACCAGGGCACAATCTACATATGATTAATATAATCTTTAAAGATAATTTTACAGACGCTCTTAGCCGGTGTTGTGAAGGGCAGTGAGAGGCCTTCGCCTCTTGGTGTGCTCGGGTGGAAGGAGAGGGGGGCTCCATTGCCAGGCAGTGAGCCCCCCCGACACATATCTTCAGTTGGGAATGTAGGGTGGCCAAATGCAAGCATGTTTGTGCTAAGGCGGGTGTGCGCAGACATGTGGATACAGTAATCACGGCGTTTTTAACGGAAAAGGACTCGAGATGCCGTCGACATTTTCTATGTTAGAAATACGATAGCGAGGTCTTTTACCTGTAAGAGCTACCGTTGGTACCGATGCAGTGTGCCTCACGGAACGCGCTGTGACCTCGTATCCCTCCGAACTCCTATTTGCTCTCCCGTGCTGGCTTCCCCTTTTTCCTGCTTCAGAGACCTCCCTTCCGACCGCTCTCTGCCTCAAACACCACGACCGACAACCCTTGCAACACGCACCGCTCACTTACATCCCGCCGACGGAGCACCGACCCAGCTCAAAGCAGAAATATTCTCCTTTCTTCCCGCAAGCGTCCGTAATGACAACAAGTCGAAATCTTGGTCTTGCAGGGCTGTGGCATAGTATGTCGGCCGCGGGCAGGTTGGGGAAGGAAGGGGAGGAAAGCAACAGGGTGGTGAGATCAGACGAAGGCGTGGACTGGAAAGCTTGCATGGGGGCAGCTGGACCTAGGAAAGGTCCTATGCAGGAAAGATTGAGCGAACGGAGAACATGCAGGTACTCATGCGCACAGATACCAGCACAGCCGCGGCACTGTGCTGGCTATGATAATCGAAATCTTATCCGTACTCACATGCCTCGGCTGTTCCAGGCACTGTACTTGATGACGTACACCTCTCCCGGCTGATTGGGCCGAGTCATGTCAATGTACAGAGCCGCAGCGCCTCCGCTACAATTAACACCACTGTGGATGAGGTCAACAATGCCGGCGGTCATGTCAACCGCCAGCGCCGCTGCTCCGCCAGGCGGGAGGCGGCAAATCATGTATGACCTATATATGGGAAGACTGTTCGCATCAATAATGTCGTACACTGCGACAGGCGGCTCGATAAAGGTCTCCTTGGGAGAGAAAGGGGTCTCCAAATAAGCGGCACCCTGACAAGGAAGAGGGCAAGAAGGGTCAATGATCACCCATGAATTTTATGTGTTGGCACGCAAGCAAGCAAAATTGCAGCAGGTGTTGCAGTAGGACCTGGAGGTGCGCGGGTCTTGATAATAGCAGCGGCTGTGTGTCTGAATCCCTAGGCCACAGCCAGACATTATGTATGCAGCAAGCCTGAACTTGTTGCACCCATCCCTCTGACATGTGCACACAATCACCTCAAAGACTACATTAACCTGCAGGGATGCAAACCTGTAGTGATATGGATGGGGGGTCGGTGTTCGCGGCCGCCACCGCTGCTATGTTAATGGTGATTCCAACGCCTGCACTGACACTCATGTTCTGCAGCAGCAATAGCTCCGGAGCCTGTGCTGCCAGCCCTTCCCACCCAAGCACGTCGTTTCCGAGATTAGGAATACTGGATTCCACTTGTGTCCCTCCGCCAACATTAGGGCGCAGACGAAGACTGGGCGTCGCCACGGAGCAACGTACATCTGTCACCTGACGTATCGTGGCACGCGGTAAACGGGGTGACTGGTGGAGATGGGCGTCTGCTAGCTCCAAAGGTCTGAGGAACAACCTGGATTCAATATGTGTCTAAATGAGGCTTGGTGCAGATGCCGAGGATTCGATGCAGGACTTGGAGCACGCATGAGGCCATGAGCCTTCATGGGGGCGGGAACTGTAAATAGGGGGATGCAAACCAGACACCGTTCGAAATAGGAAGTAGTCTCACAGATTCAAAAGCTGAGGTGTTAATGACCAGCAATATTGTTAAGAGCTCACCTGCACACCGGAGATGTTCAGTCGCGGATAGTCTTGGTGCTGTAACACCAGGGAGGGCAACTGCAGGAGCCGAAACACCAGCCAGTCCAGGGATGTCTGACCAGGGGTTGGACCGAGCAGAAACATCCAGTTCGTGGGGAACCAAACCTAGGGGTTGCGGGCATGGGAAGGAAGGGCTTGGGATGGGGCTTGGGATGGGAAAGCCAGAGGCAAGGACTGCAAGGGGCAAGGGGCAAGGTTTGGAGGCTAATCAGGTCCCACACAGGGGAGACTGCAGAGGCCCCAGATGCGGAGGATGGTGCCGCGTGAACAAGTGGCAACTGTAAACAATGCCATGGACAGGTATATGAAAGTCGCACGCCAGCTTTCTGGTAGCTCTCTGGCAGCTTCATAGTAGCTTTCTGGCAGCCTCCTGGTAGCTTTGGGAAAAGAGAGAGGATTGAGGAAAGACTGCGTCGGGTGGCGAGCCACTAGCATAGCGTGTCACGGAAATGTGCATGAGTACCATCCCACATGAGAAACTAGCTCCATTCCACAAACGGGAGCACTACTTGTAAGAGGGATCAGGGAAACCAAAATGCGCATTCAACCACAAAAGGGAGCTTGTCCCGCGAGAGAAGGAATCCGCATGACCCGACTACATCATACAATGGGCTGCGCCGGAATTTATATGTATTGATGGTGTGTACCGTACTGTACGACAGGAACTACAAGATTGGAATAGGAGGTGAAACCCTGTATTCGAATGGAGCTTACCAGGGCATAAATGGTAACTGGAAGGGGGAATGAGGTTAAGGCAGAGGACTGCATTAGGGACCTTCCACGGCGGCGGTTTAGACGGCGCATTGTGGTGACACCGCTGCTGCTGCTTGCGCTTTGTGTTGCCACGTCGTCGGCATTATACGATGCACGGACATACTCGATTGACGGCACGTCAGCATTCTTCATGAGGACGGACCTGCAGCATTTGGCAGGCCGTATGCCTAAGAGTACACACAGACAAGGGATGCCCAGGGGATGCTATTCCTTCGACAGTATGTATGTGTGTTTTTGATGACTCTGCATAACATAGCTTGCAACGGCGGCCATCCTGGTTGCTGATGAGCGAATGATTGTAACTGCTGCATAAAATGCGCATAATGCGGCGCCCATCTCCTATTGTTATTCCGTGTGCCGACTGTGCGCAGTATTATTATGTGCTGCCTGAGCTGCCAGCGCTACTGCAACTACCATTACCGATCCCTGTGCCTGTGCCTGCAGACATGTACCTGGAGCCCGTGCAGTGTGCCCCTGCTGTGGTGTACCAGTATGATGATTTGTCGGAATCTACAGCACGGCACTCTACCTGAAGTCCTGGAGCAGTCCTGCATCTTCCCCCATGTAGGTGGCAGGTTGCAGAGCGGGGAGGTACACTGTGAAGGATACCCAGGGGTTCCACGGGGCGCCAAGGACAATCCCAGCAGGTGGTGGCTGCTGGGACCATGCTGTAGTTGGGGCAAAAGGGCAAGGGGCAAGATGATGGGGTTTTGCCATCGTGCAAACAATGTTTAAAACATGCCATGCTGATAGTCGCATGCAGGTGCACGAGGTTGAAGCCGGCTGGCCCCATGCATAGCTTGATTTGCTTGATGGCACCGAAACCATGTTTTGAAAGAGAACAGTCGGGGGCACTTCATTATCGATGTGCGACTTGTGCAGTTCGTGGATCCTGGGCAGCAAACTGTAAATGACATGTTACGAGTCACAAGTTCTGCTCAAGTGCGCTGGGGGGGGGTTTCAATAGAAGCCGGGGGCCCCATGGATGGTCAATTATTGGATGGTCATTAATGCGGTGCCAAGCAAGGACTTTATTGTCCTCCCCTGAGCGCTTTGGCTCGAGACACGCTTGGGCATGACTGCAACAGCGGCCACACTGCAGCAGCAGTAACACTGCAACAGCAGCAACACTGCAATACTCAACAAGCGAGTAGTACTGCTCGGCCCGGGTTGAGCAGATCGGACCGATCATAAACCAGAGGCCACGATCGCGGGCTGTGGCGCGGCACTCGGCTCCCCCGTACACATCGTCTCTAGTATGGCATCGTGCCTGCTGCTAGCTTTTCCTGTCGTGTTTAGATGTCTGCATCAGCGGCAATAACCGCTGGGAGGTTGGTTTGAGCACCGCTGACCCACCCTTGTTTTCCCGTACATAGGAGAGTCTAAAGTGCTGTTGTTAGGCAGTACTAGCTGTTTCGTGCTGAGTGCTAGCTGTGCGTGTACGGCCGGCCTGTGGATCGTGCCAGACTGTGCCTCTGAGTGCCGACTACGCCATCGTGCGCTTCTGCTAAACCATCACGTGCTTTTGCTGCATGTTGCACGACCGCTTGTCCTTCGGTTTTCCGTTTTCCCAGAGCAGTCAGCTTCTGTGAGCATGTGTGAGCGTGTATGAGCGCGTGTACCCGTATGTGCTTATGTGTACACTTGCGTACTTGTGTAATACTTTCAAACCCAACTACACCACCACAGCTCTCGAGGCGTTATAAGGTAAGACGCACATATTGAAGGTAAGATGCACAATATGTGCATATCAAGTACAAATGATTACGACAGTTATTCCATGCATGGCTGCGATTCCTACGCATGCTTCGTTGCAATATCGTGCAATGATCAGGCAAAAATGCTTGGTGGAGCTGTTGTATCTCGACTTCAGAAAAGTACCGAGCGGCGGATCCCGTAATACACCCACCCAGGATAGAAGCTCGGAATTTGCCATGGTCGTCAAAAACACCATATAGTTTCTACAAATTGCCTATCCTTGGTTGTTAGTGTAACGGGCCAGGTACAGACGCAGCAGATGTTGTATGTCTAATACTTCCTAGCGACTTGTTTTTCATGCACTCCTTATACAAGTTACAGGTTACAAGTCCCACACGAGTGTGGGGGGATTCCGCCAAAGCCGGAGAGACAGTCGGTGTCGGCGACAGTGGCCGCCGCCAGCAATGGCTGTGCTGACGCAGGCATTGGCCACTGCTATTCGATTACTAGACGTGGCAGGAGAGAAGCTTCTAGAGCTAACTTCTAAGTAAGAGTTTAAACGGAAGCCTGTCGGCTTGTCAGTTTGCTAGTTGGTCCAGGAGACCCAGATCACTAGGATATCGTACAATTACCCTTAGCGGTTCACTACTGTAATTAGGCATTCTGCCTACACTATCTGGAGTCTACATATCGGTATCGGATGGAGTACAGTGTTGGAATTTTGTAAACAGCCAAGGTGCGAACATTCGATCAGCTTAGAGCTGTGCCACTCCAAGAGCAAGGCCAAGTTAACTCTCAACAATGCCGTACGAATCTTGGCTCTCTAGTCAATGAAGAGCGCAGCACATTGCGTTGCTTATTGTGAGCTGCAAGTGGGGTATCGAACATTTCAGCGCAGAATGCGCTGGAGGTTCTGGCCAAGAGCATGTCTGCCTCAGCGTCAGGTTAAAGCTCAATGCCGTGTATACAGCGTGGCGCCAGCCGGGCGGGGTTTGACACAGACGAAACATCCAGAGCATCTGTTTCAAGTAATTCATCAACCATACGCACAAATACTCATAGAAAGTATTTCACATCTGTTATCGACTCATCCCAGCTGTGCACGGATAAGACCAGGACTTACTTGGAAACATAAAAAGCGGCGACGGTGGTACTGTTATTTTTGGTGAAGGTGCTGGGGGCTGTGGAGGTAATGGTAGAGGAGGCGGTGTTGGGGGCCATGGTGGAGCTGGTTGTGGTGATGGCGGTGATGGCGATGATGGCGGTAATGGCGGTGATGGTGGTGATGGTGGTGATGGTGGTGATGGTGGTGATGGTGGTGATGGTGGTGATGGTGGTGATGGTGGTGATGGCTCTGGTGATGGCTCTGGTGATGGTGGTTGTGGTGATGGAGGCGATGGCGGTGATGGTGGTGATGGTGGTGATGGCGGCTGTGGTGATGGTGGCTGCGGTGGTGGTGATGGTGGTGACGGCTCTGGTGATGGCGGTTGCGGTGGATGGTGACGGTGATGGTTGTGAGTGATGGCGGTTGTGGGGATGGTGGCTCTGGTGATGGCGGTGGTGGTGATGCTGATGACGGCCCTGATGACGGCACTGACGATGGCGGTTGTGGGGATGGTGGCGGTGATGGTTGTCTGGTGATGGCGGTTGTGGGGATGGTGGCTCTGTGGATGGCGGCGGTGGTGATGCTGATGATGGCCCTGATGTCGGCGCTGAAGGTGGCGGTTCTGGGGATGGTGAGTCTGGGGATGACTGTGGGGATGGTGCTCTGGTGATGGCGGCTGTGGAGATGGTTGCTCTGGTGGATGGCGGCGGTGGTGATGCTGATGATGGCCCTGAAGTCGGCGCTGAAGGTGGCGGTTCTGGGGATGGTGGGTCTGGGGATGACTGTGGGGATGGTGCTCTGGTGATGGCGGCTGTGGAGATGGTTGCCCTGGTGGATGGCGGCGGTGGTGATGCTGATGATGGCCCTGAAGTCGGCGCTGAAGGTGGCGGTTCTGGGGATGGTGGGTCTGGGGATGACGACTGTGGGGATGGTGGCTCTGGTGATGGCGGCTGTGGGGATGGTGGCTCTGGTGATGGCGGCGGTGGTGATGCTGATGACGGCGCGACGGATCTGGTGATGGTGGCTCTGGGGATGGTGGCTCTGGGGATGGCGGCTCTGGGGGCGGCGGCGGTTCTGCGGATGGTGGCTCTGGTGATGGTGGCTCGGTAGGTGGCTCTGGAGATGGTGGCTCTGGGGATGGTGGCTCTGGGGATGGTGGCTCTGGGGATGGTGGCTCTGGAAATGGCGGCTCTGGGGGCGGCGGCGGCTCTGGGGATGGTGGCTCTGGTGATGGTGGCTCTGGTGATGGTGGCTCTGGGGATGGTGGCTCTGGGAATGGCGGCTCTGGGGGCGGCGGCGGTTCTGGAGATGGTGGCTCTGGGGATGGTGGCTCTGGGGATGGTGGCTCTGGGGATGGTGGCTCTGGAAATGGCGGCTCTGGGGGCGGCGGCGGCTCTGGGGATGGTGGCTCTGGTGATGGTGGCTCTGGTGATGGTGGCTCTGGGGATGGTGGCTCTGGGAATGGCGGCTCTGGGGGCGGCGGCGGTTCTGGTGATGGTGGCTCTGGGGATGGCGGCTCAGGTGATGGTGGCTCTGGGGATGGTGGCTCTGGGAATGGCGGCTCTGGGGGCGGCGGCGGTTCTGGGGATGGTAGCTCTGGGGATGGTGGCTCTGGTGATGGTGGCTCTGGTGATGGTGGCTCTGGGGATGGTGGCTCTGGGAGTGGCGCCTCTGGGGGCGGCGGCGGTTCTGGGGATGGTGGCTCTGGGGATGGTGGCTCTGGTGATGGTGGCTCTGGTGATGGTGGCTCTGGGGATGGTGGCTCTGGGAGTGGCGGCTCTGGGGGCGGCGGCGGTTCTGGGGATGGTGGCTCTGGGGATGGCGGCTGTGGGGATGGTGGCTCTGGTGATGGTGGCTCTGGGATATGGCGGCTCTGGTGATGGCGGCTCTGGGGATGGCGGCTCTGGGGATGGTGGCTCTGGGGATGGCGGCTCTGGGGATGGTGGCTCTGGGGATGGTGGCTCTGGGGATGGTGATCTGGGGATGGTGGCTCTGGAAATGGCGGCTCTGGGGGCGGCGGCGGTTCTGGGGATGGTGGCTCTGGGGATGGTGGCTCTGGGGATGGCGGCTCTGGAGATGGTGGCTCTGGGGATGGTGGCTCTGGGAATGGTGGCTCTGGGGGCGGCGGCGGTTCTGGGGATGGTGGCTCTGGGGATGGCGGCTGTGGGGATGGTTGTTCTGGTGATGGCGGCGGTGGTGATACTGATGACGGCCCTGATGACGGCACTGACGATGGCGGTTGTGGGGATGGTGGCTCTGGTGATGGCGGCTGTGGGGATGGTGTTCTGGTGATGGCGGCGGTGGTGATACTGATGACGGCCCTGATGACGGCACTGACGATGGCGGTTGTGGGGATGGTGGCTCTGGTGATGGCGGCGTGTGGGGATGGTTGTTCTGGTGATGGCGGCGGTGGTGATACTGATGACGGCCCTGATGACGGCACTGACGATGGCGGTTGTGGGGATGTGGCTCTGGTGATGGTGGCTCTGGTGATGGCGGCTGTGGGGATGGCTGTTCTGGTGATGGCGGCGGTGGTGATCCTGATGACGGCCCTGATGACGGCACTGACGATGGCGGTTGTGGGGATGGTGGCTCTGGTGATGGTGGCTCTGGTGATGGCGGCTGTGGGGATGGTTGTTCTGGTGATGGCGGCGGTGGTGATACTGATGACGGCCCTGATGACGGCACTGACGATGGCGGCTGTGGGGATGGTGGCTCTGGGGATGGCGGCTGTGGGGATGTTTGCATTGGCAGCAGTGGTGGCGGCGACAAGGGCGGTGCTGGCGACTGTGGCATCGACGGTGGTGGCTGTGGTGTAAATTGTAGCGCCGGTGGCGCTCCTGATGGTTCATAAGTGAGTGGGGATGCTGTTGGTGTCAGTGAAGGCGAACTCAGAGGTCCTGGTGAAGAGGTTGGACTCGGTTGCGACATCACTGGGTAAGGAGTTCCCAAGAGCTTTCGAGCAATGAGCTCCGTCGAGTACATTTTGGAGCGGGCGGTCGAGCTGTTTATGCCATGGTGCTGCAGTGATGGGGCCCAGGATATTAACGGTGGTGACGGCGACCATGAGCGTGATTCTAGTGGTGGTGGCAATGGTGATGATACCGCCACTGCTGATGTGCCCAATGGCGATGGTGGCGGCTGCGACAACGGCAGCACAGTTAGGTCATCTGTACTCAGCAGCTGTTGGGCACTGAGAGTTCTCAAACAGACCCGGAAGATGCCGAGGCTACCCGGCAGGCGTCTGTTAGCACCCTGGGGTCCCCAAAATACAGAGCTATGTGGTGCACATGTAGAATTGGATGCAGACTTATACATGAACGACATACAGGTAGGCAGTGTCGTACAGGCGGCAGCACAATCACTGAAGCTTCTACGAGGTATAGCAGCTCCCAGTTGTGTGTAGGACGCCCCTTGCTGCAAACAAGTGTCCAACTAATTAGCTCTCTACTCCAGCGGCGCTCAAACGGCACGTGTCCATGTATGGACTGCTGCCACCAGGCAGCAGGCTGGAGTTTGTACATATGACCTATCTAAGTTGTTTCCTTGAAAATAAAGAAAGCCTGCACAACTGCTTTAAATGTATGACGCACCGAAAAGTTGTTCCTGCTTCCCTCGAACTGCTGCAGGTGCATCAGGACATTCCAGCTGCTAGGTAGCCCGCCATTGAGCCGGTTGTCGTTAAGCAGTAGCGTCTGAAGCGCCTGATGAATGAAGCAAGGTGCCGGCATGCGAGTGGCGGAGGTGTGGAAGAGAGTGACCAGGCCAGAGGCAGTGTGTCAGGAAAGGGAAAGGGGTAGAAATGCTTGTGCAAGGCATGGGGTTCCATGACCCAGACCCCGCACAACTTGGATCTGTGCCCTCAGGCTTACCGACATTGCTGACCAGGCGGACGGAAGGGTACCGCTTAACTGGTTATGGCGCAAATCCAGCGACCTGCGAGTATGATGTGTGGGAAAGGATGTCATATTTTCACCCTGCCGCCGCTATCCGGCAGACCCTGCCTTCCCCGGTATTTCGGGGCACCCTCACCTAGCCACCCTAGCCAACTTCTCAGTGGATCGCTCAGGTTCCGCACCCACCACCGGCATCCAACGGAACCTGGCTATCTATGATCTGATTATATATGTATGCGAGTATGTATGGCACGAAGTATAATATTTAAAAGTGCACTTGATAGACTCAATACCATCATCGCTTAAACGGGCTTTTCATTCCTTGTATATGTCAGGGGTGTATATTGCCTCCCTGAGACCGCGCCATCATGCCTTCAGTGTGCTGCTAGGTATTTGTCTAACGGATGTGCGTCCTGGGTACGTATTTACTCGTATCCCCAACACCCACTTCACCGCCCAACTGCAGACTACATGAATTCATGCCATTGTCGCATCTAAACCCGCCCGCCCCCATGACCTCCAGCCGCACCGTAGGTTGGTGAGGGCGCTCCAGGACGCCGGCAGTATACCCGTGAAGGAATTGTACGACAGGGACAGGGAAGTTAGACTGTACAGCGGCGATAAGTCCGGAGGCAGCGTTCCCCCCAGCCCTGCACCATTGAGCCGCAGCCGCTGCAGCGCATCTAGTTGGCCTGCACATGGGCGAAATGCAGTTTGTGGAGCATGAAGGCGTGGGTGCGGGCGTGTGGGCGCGGAAAAGGAAAGACACATAAAGCCAAGCGCGTGGCAAGCAGGTACATTCCCTGACCGGTCAGGGTGGTTCCCGGTTGGAGGTTAAAGGGGGGTTAACTGCATCCTTGCTCACGCTTATCCTTTTGCGACTCCTATAAGCGTCTTCTCAGAGGGACAGGGACGATTTGCGTCCGATACCAGCATTCTTGCAATTGCATGCAATGCTATACGTAAAATGTTCGGCATTTTGCGCTCCTTCAACACCGCCGTACAGCATCATACAGCAAACTTACCGATGGTGGCTGGCAGTGCTCCCACAGGCAGTGTGATGTTGGCCAATAGGTCAATTGCCGTCACGCGCTGGCCAGAACAGGTCACGCATGCCCAGCCGTCTGTGGAGGATACATACGCCAAGCAGGGCCATTAGTAGGCTGACAAGTGTCATGACAATGTGCACAAACTGCCCAAACCAGCTTGTGAGGCATCGGCTGCACACAGCTATGCGAACCACGGAGAAGTACAGCTTCATTCTACTGTGTGCTATGCTGGTATTGGCTTTGCTCCAAAACATACGCTGAGCTCCGGCACAACCGAGAGAGGACATCAGTCCCGTCCACGGCTTCGACGGAGTTTTACGCCAGTTTTTGGAGCTAAGGTGCCATCACCCCAGGCCAGAGCTCCAAGCCGGAGCATGCATCCATGTCTGCACTCGCATCCCCATCCAAGCCACCTCCATGAGGATTAACCCGCGCTGCATGCTATGCTCTCCTCAATCGTCACCACAACACATCCAAATCCCATTCCATTGCCAGCCACCAGCTACCACCTGCTACCTAACCCGACGTGCGCATCGCCACATTTCACCGTCGCCATGTCTGGAGCCGTGGTTCGGTGCTTCCCACATTCCTACATCCGCCATAACCCACCGCTGCATGGCGCCGCACCCGACCAGCTGCTCAAATAGGAGGGTGGTGAGGGATCTACCAGGGTCAGCAATACCGCCGCGTCATCAGCCTCCGTGCGGGATGCCCAGGCAAGCTGCAGATGCCTACTAGCGACCCCCGCAAGAAGCAATAGCAGCATTATCAGGACCGGTGACTCCAGGTGCCTGCTCGGCAAGCAGGGTGTACCAAATGCCGAAATGATGAGGAACGGTCTGTGGCCGGTCTGCCGGGGGGATTTCCTGGCGATGGATTTCGGAGCGGCGGCATAAGTCTCTTATAAGTCGGAACGCATAGGAAGTCTCCTTGGCCAAAAGGCGTGCACAAGGCAGGCATCCGTTACTGTATAGCTAGAGTAAGAGTGAGAGGAAACGATACAATATATGGCGAGAGCGAAAATTATGGAACGAAAAACGACCCAATTTGCTAAGCCACCATTTTTTTATTTCGTGGTTTCTCTATAGATGCACAGCGACACTTTCGCTGGCACACCATCTGTGCGCTCTGTTGCTGGCGAATCCGCCAACTCATCCCCAGCCTACTGTAACCCTTCATTTATCTAGTTCTTCATGGACCGCCGTTTCGCCCGAATCGATTGCTGCCCTGATCGAAATTAAACAAAGGTCAACACAACCTCGGCAGGATTAACACTTAGACTGTCCTTTGCAACCTAATCGCTCAACTATCCCTTAGCCCGTCGTCTTCTGCCCCTACCATTACATACATAGATAATCCTTGGTGACCTAAGAACCTGTCCCATACGTTACCAAATTGACCTAAAATCCTAAAATCTGCCTTTTCAACGACCTTCCGAATGCAAGTGTAACATTTTATTCTACGAAGTGCCTAGCTTTTCATGACTTGCAATTGTTAATTCTCGCTCTGTACATACCTGCTTGGCCACGTGCGTACACCGCCATGCTTGCAGACTGCGTTCGGCCACAGGCGCAATCGGCAGCAGCCATCATGTGTACGCCTCATGCATCTGACCGAGGTAAGCGACAAAATATAATGTCCTGAGATTTCAGCTTATAGTAAATACAACAATCTCGAGGCTGGCTTCACCGAACGTCCGCTTAATAGTACGATGGGACGCCAATTGAAACAAGTATGATTTTAATAATATCATTTCATGATTAGAAACTAAATATGTAACGTTTTTCTTATCTAATTTCTTTCACACTGCTTCACTACTGCCCGTACCGGTGTTGGAATTAGCACTACCCTTCCGTTGCAGCTGTACAAGTACGGTACATATATCGTCTCTAAGTACGCGCAAAGGCTCTTCTCCAGCATCTCGAGAGGCCTTTTCAGCGGCCAGCTACTACACCTACTAACGTTCTGTGTCTTTTATTTGACATTAAGTCATTGCTCGCAAATGAAACCAAAATTCCAATACTACGTTAATACTCTTGCGAGGCAAATACATGCAGTGTGCAGGGCGGGAAGTTGACATAGTTGCAAATGAACGGGGCAATGAGTCAATGCCAATGACCAATGAGCCCTTAAGCTTGCACTGTTCGTTGTGAACTAAGCATTTATCACTTAAAACTTTAATTTTTTCTGCGGGTTGGTGATAGCTGCCGGTTGGCTGCAGGGCTGGAGGGCCTCCACCTAAGTCCGCGGTCAATGATGAAGAACAGGTCGCGGGCGATTGTACTTGAAGACAGAAATAGAACCGTTCCCGAAACCAGAAATACCCCATTTGCCAATGTCTGCTGGAGGCCCCACATTTAATGCTGTGGGTTCGTGGTGGTTGCTGGTCGGCTGAAAACGTGCTTAAGCTGGAGGCCCCACAGTTAATTCTCCGATAGAAAAGCCATTGGCCTTGATATCTGATGTACAATATAATATAGCATGGCTGTGATTACAGGTACAGCACAAAAACACAGAACCTCATCCCCACAACCATTAAAAATGGTATCGTGGACAACCCCTGCATTGGAGCTCTCCCGTCAGGCATTTAGCTTCGCATCATAAATGCAGTGGATGATTAAAAGGTTGGATTTGAGTGTTTCGAAGGGCTTGAGGTCCCCCTCTTAGTAAGAAATGTCCATTTCCTCTTTTACTACTAAAGACTGTTAATAGATGAGTCCCCTAATGCCGGCTTTTCAAATAAATTGCAGGAAATGACGTGCGTGTTCATGTGCGTTGCATCTGAAGCATTGGTAGACTTCTGGGTGCGCCTGAGGAGCTTTGCAACCCTGGGTTTGCTCCCAAAAGGAGGTCAGGTGGGGGCCCTCGAGGACACCCCGTCTTTGGGGCATCCTCTTGTGGTCTGCAACGAGTGCAGACCACAGGCAAACACGAAGTGGAGCTCACAAGGGGTGAGGTCCAGAGTGTTGTTTAACTACGCCTCAACAATATCTGAGTTACAAGGAGATTGGAACTTGGAGACGGTGGCGTCGCTCATGGCCAAGGAGGGGCGGGTGGGTACCAGGCATGTTGAGTCAGCAGGAATATGTGAGCAGCTTCCTGGAAGCATTTGCAGGCGAGCGAACCTGCAAGGTTAGCTTGTCCTCTAAGGCCTAGGAAGACCAACTCGACATGATATATCAGTCAGTGACCGAGCAGTCGCCTTGTGGTTGATCATGAATTGCCGAGTCACATACGCACCCTTGCGTGTAATAAGGCAACCTTGGTGCTTAACAGTGCAATGGTCACCGCTGTGATGTCCTTTCCACCAAGGCTTGGCTATCATACATCCCTGCCACCATTCTTTGTTTCGTCAACTCTGCCGTCAATGTCCCTACCTCAAAGCCAAACGAGTCCTGAAGAATACATACATGTATTTTTCTTGGCAATTTTTCTGAACTGCCTGCCTCCAGGAAGCGCAGCGAGGTTCAGGGTGCGGGGCCTCTATGGTCGAGCCCTTACGTAAAGGCAAAGGAACAAAGCGTCAAGGGCAAGCAGTCACTAGTAGTGTATGATAAGAAATATCAAATGTTGTAGACCTTATGCATCATGTCCCTGACTACTTAAGAACGTACCGTGCACGGGTTTCTGCCGCAGCTCCGTTGCGCATCCGCGTTATAAACCCAAATGATATGCAAGCGGAATCTACCTCAATTTTCTGTGCGCATTATGGGGTAAGACTATCACAACATGGTATTTCACAAAGACCGTCCGAAAGGCTTGGTCAAGTCCATAGCTGCTGTAAGCCAGCTAACAAATGGATTGTGCAATTTTTGTATCTCGTTAAAATTATTTTGATTATCTAAGTGAGTTCTTTTGCCATGTGGAGGTTGAAGCTGCTGCGCTTTCTATACGGGTTTGCACCAATACACGAATTTCGTTTTTACAATTTGCAAGCCGCAAGCACTTGACCTCGCATCCGCACTGCGAACCTCAATTAGTAACAGTAGCACCTGACACAGTTCTTCATCCTTCATAATCGATTTCATGCTCGATCTCGCTGCACATTTAGAAATGCGCAGCGTAGGTTCTTGAAGTGAGGACGATGCGACGCAGGAACGGCGGAACTTCGTCCTACGCAGAAACATGTCCCCGCACCATGCCACAATAATAAAAGAGTAATGCACGCAGCCTGACATAATAAACAATAATCAATTCTCGAACACCACAGCAAATTAATAATGACAAACAAGGGCGCTTCGACGATGTACACCGTACGAGTAGAAGTTCACAATAGAACCACTCGACATACTTAGGCGTTAATTTTTACCTTGGCATTTCCGATCTGACCTTGGGGTCGGGAAGAAAAAAATCAGACGTTCGGACAGTCCAGCACCTCCCAAGGGCGGCGGCCCCAGTTACTGGTTTTGATTCGAGAGGACGCTAGGAGGCCGAGGAAGCGCGCGACCAGGGAAAGAAGCTCTTACAGAAAGCAACCTGATAAGCCACCTATACCCACCCAAGGACAAGACCAAAACGCAGGTAAGGCCCAGGCGGAATAAATGAAAACCACGCATTGGGAAATCATTTAAATTAAGACAAGGGAAGGCAGGCGCAGGCCGAACTACCAACACGCAACTGCTGAAAGAGGTTACCCACCGAGCCCTTTTGTACGGCCGATTATTGATAGCTTAGGGATAGCACGCATTCGCTGTCAGGTGTTAAAGCACGTGGATGCCGACCATTGCCTTTTATGAATGTGCCCAATGAGCATTCAATCGGGCGTACGTCGGTTTCCTCTCGTGACGGAGCGAATATGCTGACCTAAGCTACAGTCGCGCATCGTTGGATCGTCCATGCAAACTTCTTTTGGTTGCGGTTTTCGTTACAGCCATGGGAGGGTTGGCTAGAGGATGAGCACTATCCCAAGCCTTTTTCCTGAAACCGCATCCTGCACCTACGTTTTGGTTGGAACCCTGTTCACTGCCGCCACGTATGCGTTGGCATATGCACCCGATTGAACGTGTATTTCAATGATCTGAGCCGCGAATGTGTGTTATGTGCATCAGGCTGACGCGGCAGGACGCCACATGTGTGTTTTGTGTCCCGTGACTGACTGTGGCAAGTGTGCTGCTCCCATACAAATTGTGCAAAATCTTGTCGGAAGGTTGGGCTGCCCGCCAGGGGGAATTTTCGGCAATGAGGCTAGCGGAATTTATGGCGCGTTGGGGCCCTGCGCTTCAACTCTGATGCACAGACGACGCCCGCTTGTTAGCCCACCATTTGTTTGTACGGTTACTTTTAACCTCAGAGCGGCACATTCCATTCCGGCAGATCCCATGATACTTCTATATAGTTCATTTCGGGGTCTTTGGTCAAAACTGCGTTGGGAAAATGCAGAAAAGGAAGCGTGATGGCGCCTCACCGTTGATGGCATTCCTCTCCTGGGGAACCCCTACATATATGAGGGGCTGTTTACTGGCGGCTAACTGTGGCTTTGGGCCTTATCCTCCCCCGGTGGATCACAAGTGCACGTAACCCTGCTGTCGCCAATTTTGGGCATGTCCAGTTGCACAAGGTGTTGAAGAAGGCAGGTGTGGCTGGTGTCTGCCCCGACAGATGTTCAACTATGTGTTCGGGATGTGGTGGTCCTAGCCACTGTTAGCACCATGGAAGTGGTCGCAGATTTATGGCGGCTGTGAGGCAAGCGAATGCATCCAGAGGTCCGGGCCCGAGTCTCGTTGAAGAGGCCATCCATGGTTGGGGGTGCGTGACCCCATACCTGTAAGACTACCCATACGAGCCGAAGGCCCAAGGGCAATACTACAACGCCTAAAAGCCACGGAGGAAAGGAAAACACCGCAATATGTGTAGCCAACATTTACATGGATAAGTATGCAGCAGGAGGAGCAGAAGGGGAGAGTATGGGAGTGTCCGCAGGCAGGCTGGGGCGAGTGCGGCCTGCACGACCCTCACTGGTAACATGGGCACAGAGAGAGAGAGAGTGTGTGTGTGTGTGTGTGTGTGTGTGTGTGTGTGTGTGTGTGTGTGTGTGTGTGTGTGTGTGTGTGTGTGTGTGTTTGTGTGTGTGAGCCAGCGGGCCAGCTGGCCGTGCACTGCACCTGAGACGATCAGGGCAAACAAGACACCCACCCAGACCAGACAACGCAAGTGTCATCTAGACAGCAGAAAGCGAACCCAAAGGGAAGGCTCAAAAACCCACAACCACAATTCGCCAATAGACTCCCCAATTGGTGAAAGGCCTCGGACCTCCACCAGAAGGCCCACCAACAAATACTGACAGGAACTTGCACGTTGTTACTAGATGAGGCCAGTGCCCCAAAAGTCCCCAAATAAAAGAAATTAGATAAAGAAGCAAAGCAGGTAATAGCTAATCGTCCGTCGGTGGCCGCTTCCGTGGACATAACAACTTGTTTAATGCATTTCGCTAAAAGGGGTGATGTAACCCAACAGAGTCACATCCTTTCTGTGGAATTCCCAGAGCTGCGAAACTCCGGAGGCGCATCCTTTCCGTGGAATTCCCAGAGCTGCGAAACCCAAAAGTCAATAACAACTCGATAAATGGCTCCTGTAAGACAAGGGCCAGGTAGCAATGCCACGTCGGTGTTCATGGCTGTAGACATATATCGCTGCCCGTGCTCCGTAGCTGACACAGCAGCAAGAGCCATAACATCCCCAACAAAATGTTGCACTGTTTCTGGAGCTTGGACAAGCCATCAATGTTGTTCGCGTGACACTGGCGATTCTGTTGACAGAGTGAGTTGGTCCGCTACTGCCTGTGCCACCGGACAGGCCCGAAGTGCTGACAGTGAGGGGATACACCTCCCACTGAACCTACTGGATAACATCCAATACCACACACTGCTGGCCGCGACATCCTGAGATGGGAACTTCCTAACATGGGCAACCCATCAACCGTGAGACGCCACCAAACCGCATTCTGTTTATTTCCCATCGTATGTGAGACCATAAACGATGGAAGGTCCGTTGCAAAGTAGGAATAGCCTCACCCAGTACCTCAGGAGAACCCGTCTGTAATAGTAGTTGGTACACAGTACGGCAGACATATCAGCTACTGTGTTTAATTGGCCCAGACGCCTCCCACTCTGTAACAGCAGCAATATCAATAACAAATACGCGCGAAGAGCTCGACCAGCATCCCGAGAGGCCTTTTCAGCGGCCAGCTACTACGCCGTCGCCTCTTTAATAAACAGGCTATGGGCTACTCGACGCGCAGTGTTTTTGTTTTCATTTTTGCTCGTCAATTTTCAGCCCGAACGGAGGAATAGGGTTTTAGTCGCGGGAATAAAGTATTCCGAATCTGTAAGGCGCTGACTGGGGCTTTCCCCCCCCCAGACCCCCCCCATGAGTTACAGTTTAGTTCGTACAAGCGCCAGGTTTGGAGAATGTCGCAACACGCACACAACACAATCTCCCCAGAGAGGTGTCTCTTACACGCCAGGAAGCGGTGCGCACTTAGACGCTTTGACAGGAAGCCCGATTGCACGGCAACTGCTTTTTCCAAAGGGCTTGCAGAGCCTAAGCAAACACAGATCAGTTAACCCCTACTCAAGCACTTATCGAATAGAGTTCGTTCGCCGTCGTTCGTTTTGCATCACGTTGAAAGATAACACTACACGACTCTCCAGATTGCAAAAGTAATGATGCAGAGTGTGGGGTTAGGAGTCTTAGCTGCAGCGCCGGGGTCGCTGCTACCATCACCCTCAACACCCGTGTTTCCTGGCCCATCACGGTTGCCTCCATATGATGAACGTTGACGTTTGGCCCACTCACTGTTGACAACCGGAGTGGCGTCATTGTCGTCGGCTGGCTACAGCATTGCGTCCACATTGCTTACGACCTCTACACCGTCTTCATCACCGTCGCTAATGGCCTCTGTGTGAAGCTTAATTTATGCTTTAATGGCTTGCCATGCTTTGGGAGCTTCAGATCAGATTGCAACGTTTCATCCGGTCAGAAACAGTCCTATTCCTCGTTGACTCACGGGCGTGACCTTCTTAACAGTATCCATGGCATTGAAGTGCTATCATATGGCTAACATGTATGTCCCTGTAAGATTCTAGCGGCTTTGGCATGGACAGCCCATTTTTGTTGGCTGGAGGAATGACAGCTATGGCTGCGTCCCCAAGCCATGGGGACCTTTGCCATTGGGGAGGGCCCTTTGTACCGAGGCTCTCTCCCCTTGGTGAGCCTGAGAATCTCCCCAAACGATTTTCCCTGGGGAGCACTTCGCCGTGGCTAAAGCGCCCTCACCGGACGCGCCAGACGAGTTAGGGAAGGTCCAGGAGTGACTCGCGCCGCCTAGCGCCATCGATTTCCCGCAACCCTGGCGACCTTCCCGACGGCCCAGCACCATACCTGTAACACAGCAAAGGCGTAACCCGGGATGCTCAGATTGGCATTTGCGTCGTTACATAGCAATGGACGTCCTCGGCCATTATTTCGAGCACAGGAGCCATCCCACCTCGCGCCAGTGCGCTGGTTTATCCATTACACCATGAAATCGCCAATTTGCGACTTGCTGGTTGCCAGAATCGAACCGCCGACCCGAAGTTTATTTCGGTATTCGTGCGGTCCCGTCTCGATACCATTGTAACACAGCAAAGGCGTAACCCGGGATGCTCAGATTGGCATTTGCGTCGTTACAATACCAGTTTGTACGGCATATCCTACCCAGCCCTACAGCAAAGCAATGCTTCAAACGAAATTTCCCATTGCATGAGATAGACAATTAGTAAGCGAAATTGGCTCTGTTGGTTAGGTGAACACAAACAATAGCTTTGCCTTACCAACTTCACTCGCTCATGAAGGTCGAGGACCCCATTAAGAAGAGCATTGCCAAAGCAAAGAGGAATAAAAAGGGACGGGGTAGAGCAAAACAGCTTCGAAATGCCCAGCCCCCGAGCCTTTCGGCAAACGTAGCTGTCACAAGTGCCAATGCGCAACAGGAGCCGGTGAACATTGGTAACGACGCGGCCTACGAGGTCGAAGATTTTGATCCGATTCACCATGAAGACGCTGACGACGCGGAAGCATCGGAAGATGCTGACGGTTTCAGTGCAGCCGAGGAGGAACCAGAACCAGAGCCCTAACCAGAGTCCACGTTAACACACGCTGTGCGGGAAGCGTACGTGCATGACTTTGCAGCAGCCGTGGAGAGCCGGACTTGCTTTTTTGAGCAGCAGCGCTGGCGTACTTCGCAGACCTTAGGCGTGCCCCCGGTGCACCGTGCGCTCCCCAGAAGGACCTACCCTGTGACCATCATCACTTGGTGTAGCAGTCGCTCACCTGGCGGGTCGACTGGCACAGCGGAAGCGTAGAGTTGGTAGTCCTCACCGAGGCAGGAAGAAGTCCAACCCAGCGGCAAGCACTAGCGTACATAGACGCGTACAAAACAATTAGAGACGGCGGCAGCGGAGTCTTGAACTCCGAACACCTAGTAATGTGATACGTCAGTGTCTGGCCAGAGCACCCCGCCCGGGTAGCTTATATCTCGGCCTACCTGCCGGAGATTCCCTACCACGGACTTGCCGTACTAGGATAATGTTGGTGGGGCCCAGGGCCCCAGCCCGTTAGGTTCGCTTACGAACAACCGCCATGTTCGATACATGCGACGAAGCTCGTAACATGCACGAAACTTGAGACGAATCGTTAACGGATTAACAGTTATTGTTAAAAGTAATCGTTGAAATATTCTAAGGGAAATGTAGCTTGCTACACTTGGGAGCAACCCATATGCGTATGTGTAGATGTCCCTGTGTGCTGGTGCATGCCCGATTGGGTGTTTCATAACATGCGTCCCACAGAGTTCAACTGCCTACCCGACACTAAGGCTGGGTGGGACCTCCACCTCCAGCGAGACGGCCAGCATGTTCTCTGGTGGCACCAGTCGCTCCTGCAGCTGTTCGACCTTGTGTCATTCAGGAGCAGGCACCTGAGTGCGGACGCATTCTGCTCTGCACTCCTTGACACCTGGGAGCAAAATGGCATCTGCCGTCCAGTTTCCCCGTTTCGGCAACCACGCTTCGTAAACACCTTCGGCAAGCACTCCTGTACATGGACTGCCAGGGTGTCGTGGATGACTACCCGGAGGCACACTTAGCACCTGGCCCCATGGAGCTCTGCATGGGTGCCCTTGTTGTGGGGACACTCTCAGGTGCAGCAATGCAGTGAATGGCGTGGCTGCAGCCGCCCCAGCTCCTGTTACCGGTGCTGCAGCACTGGGGGTCGTGGAAGCAGCAGCAGCAGTGGAGGGGCCGGAGCTTGGACTGGAGCACACAGAGGTGGCGGCTGGCAGCCCTGCCGCCATTGAGGGCAATCCCGTTCCCCCAGTCCCGTCAGCCGGCGCAGCAGCCCTGGGAACCATGGCGGCAGCGGTTTCCACGGGCGCTGCAATGCAAGGGGCAGCAGTGCTCGCATCGACTGACTGGCTGCTTCAGGGCACCTGCAGCCCCGAAGCCGCAGGGCCTGGCCCCACGAGCTTGCATTCGGTACATTTCGATGCCTGCTTAAAGCTAAACCTGCTGTCCCATAACCTGCCGTTGTCCAACCCTCTGCCTTGCAGGTCCTGGCTGCGGAATCGAGGAGGGTATGTTACATCTGGACGGCTGGCACCTGGATTTCTCTATGACTTATGGGGCTTGCAATTGCAGAACCTCATCACGGCTATCGGTGTCGCGTTATGCCGGCATGGGATCAGTGATTTTTTTTCATTTAGGGCGGGTCTCAATTTATTCCGACCTAAGTAACAAAGTTGCTAGGGTCGCCGTAATTTATTCCGTAAGTGTGGGGCGCTGG